GTGAAGACGGAAGTGAAGACTGGAGTTATGTTGCTACAAGCCGAGAAATGCCACGGACTGCCAGCAACCAACAGAAGGCAGAAGATAGGATTCTCTCCTTCAGAGGCAGCATGGTGCTGCCAACACCTGGACTTTGAACTTCTAGCTTCTAGAACTGTGAAAATAATACTGATGCTGTCAGCCTTCAAACGTTAGTAATATGTAGTTACAGCAGCCTGGGAAACTAATACAGAAGCAGGCGGCAATGCAAGAAGCTGAGACGACAGATGGGAAAAGCAACTGGAAAGACACCTTACAGCTTCTCAATCCTTGCTTTAGTTACTTGCATCTGAAAACAGCCCAACTAAGAGGGCCACCAAATGACTGCTGCCAAGCACTGGTGGATGCAGGACTCCTTACCACAGGTGGCACCCCACTCAGTATTTGTCTCTGATAGCACTTCTTGGCCAGGCTCAGAGGCTCATATCTCTAATTCCAGCACTCTGGCAGGCTGAGGCAGGCAGATCACCTGAGGTCAGGAGTTGGAGACCAGCCTGGCCAACATGGTGAAACCCCATCTCTACTAAAAATACAAAATTAGCCGGGTGTAGTGGTGCACGTCTGTAATCCCAGCTACTTGGGAGGTTGGGGCAGGAGAATAGCTTGAACCAGGGAGGCAGAGGTTGCAGTGAGCAGAGATGATGCCACTGCACTCCGGCCTGGGCAACGCAGCGAGACTCTGTCTCAAAAAAAAAAAAATTAGCTGGGCATGGTGGTGGGCTTCTGTAATCCCAGCTTCTCAGGAGGCTGAGGTAGGAGAGATGCTTGAACCCAGGAGGCAAAGGTTGCAGAGAGCCGAGATCATGCCATTGCACTCCAGCCTTGGCAACAAAACAAGGCTGTGTCTCAAAAAAAAAAAAAGAAAAGAAAGGGGAGAGAAGGGGAGGGGAAGGAAGAAGGGAAGGGAGAAGGGAGGGAGAAGGGAGAAAGAAAAGGGAAAGGGAAAGGAAGAAAGGAAGGAAGCAAGCACTTTTTGAGTTTGGAACAAAATCTCTCAGTCACATTCAGTCACTGGCCCTACGTCTAAATTCCAGGACCACAGAAAACAAATACAAGCTATCACCTTCCTCATGACAACTTTTCACACTCTTCAACGAACAGCTATCATATTTTCTTGAAATTTCTTTTTCTCTTTTTTGAGACAGGGTCTCACTGTTGCCCAGGCTGGAATGCAGTGGTGTGATCACAGCTCACTGCAGCCTCCACCTCCTGGGCTCAAGCAATCATCCCACCTCAGCCTCCCAAACAGCTGGGACTACAGGTGTACACCACCACGCCCAGCTAATTTTTTGAATTTTTTGTAGGGACGGGGTTTTGCTATGTTATCCAGGCTGGTCTTGAATTCCTAGGTTCAAGGGATCCTCCCATCTTGGCTTCCTAAAGTATTACGATTGCAGGCATGAGCCACTGCACCTGGCCTGAACAGAGAATAAATGTGACCTGTTTTATGAGAGATTTTGTTTGTTTTTTTCACTAGTTTATTTAGTAAATCATGAAAATCTGTTTATCCAACCCACGAAAGCATGGCTAATAATATCCAACTGTTTGTGATTATGAACAATGGTGACTGTGAGAAACATAATCAGGACTACTTAGCATAGAGGTGCACTGGCAAGAACTAACCATTTAGGGAATGCCCAAGCCTTTCTGTGGGTTTGTGATAACAGCACATGGAGCCTACTGTTACACAATGTTGCACTTGGGCTTTAGTGGGGCCCCTCTGGCTCTACATTGAGAACAGACTCAAGTGAAGCAAGGGTGGGCATGAGAAGACCAGTTAGGAGGCTGTTCCAGAAATCCAGGCAAGAGATGCTGGTGCTTGGACCTAGGTAATAGCAGCAGATGTGATGGGAAGAAAAGAGGTGGTGAGAATCTGGTCTGCTCCTAGTTTTCTGACAGGTCTAGAGCAGAACCAATGCAAGCTCTGGTCCACGGGCCAAATCTAGGCCACTGTTTTTGTGAGTGAAGTTTTACCGGAACAGTTATGCTTATTCGTTTACATATGGTCTATGGCTGCTTTTGTGCTACAGAGCTGAGATAAACAGTTCTGACCTTACAGCCTCCAAAACCAAAAATATTTACTATCTGTCCATTAACAGAAAGAGTTTGTCAATCCCAGGCCTAGAAAACAGGAATTGTCATTTATTGAGATGGAAACCTGGAAGAAGATAAATAAAATGTGAGGAAACAGCAAAGATTGGTTTGGGGCATGCTAGCTGTGAGATGCCTATTAAGACATCCAAGCAGAGATGTCAAGTAAGGTCCTGGATGTGTGAGTCTGAGGTTCAAGGAGCAGGTCCAAGTTGGAGATATAAGCTTAGGAATCATCCAATGAGGGTAATTAAAGCCAGGACACTGGATGACAACAGCAAGAGAATACACCTGGATAGAAAGGACAAGAGGTTAACTAGTGGGCCCTTGAATCCTAACATTTAGAAGTCAGCGAAATGAAAAGGAACCAGACAAAGAGTGAAAAAGGAACAGACAGAGACAGCATTAAAACGAGGAGAATGTCCTGTTCTGGAAGCCAAAAGAAAACGTGTTTCCAGGAGAAGAGGGTGAAAGCCATGTCTAATGAGGCTGCTGGATCAGACCAGACAGTGACTCAGAGCAACCACGGGAGGCCTCGCCTGACTGGAGTTGATTCAGCAAAGGGTACAAGGGCAAAAGGGGATGGAGAGAACAGGCAACTCATTACAGAAGTTCTGTTGCAAAGGTTTTGGAGCAGAGATGTGGGGTAGAAGCTGACAGGGGGAATTATATCAAGAGAGTTCCTTTTGTTCATTCCCATGATGGGAAAAGTAATTGCATTATATAGGCTGTTAAAAAAAAAAAGTCCATATGATGAAGCAAGAGAAAAAAAGGAACTGCTAGAGTGAAGGCTGAGTAACTGAAGGGAAATGGGATCTAGGGTCCAGGCTTCAACAGGAACAGGGACAGTTCATGCATAGCAAGAACTGGGCTCACATACAGGTAGGCAGACAGATGTGATGACTGGGGCTGATGGAGGTTCCCTGCCTAGGTTCTGCCTGTGTCTGTTTTCTCAATGAAATATGAAGCCAGAGTTAAGTGTGGTAGCACATGACTATAGTCCCAGCTACATGGGAGACTGAGGCAGATGGATCATTTGAGCCTAGGAGTTTGAAGCTGTAGTACACTATGATCACGCCTATGAACAGCCACCGCACTCCAGCCTGGGCAACACAGTGAGACCCCATCTCCAGAAAAAAAAGAAAAGAAAAGAAAAAGAAATGCGAAGCCAGGCCAGGCCATCAGCTGAGAGAGTGAGCACGGAGAATGAGGTCCTGCACAGTGGAGAAGGTATGAAATTGATCAGCAGAGTGAGTGAAGTGGGGAACATGGTATAATTCCCTGCCAGTAAAGAGTCTACTTGAGTTTGTGATCATGAATTTGATATTTTGTTGTTACTGTTGTTGTTTTTGAGACAGAGTCTCATTCCATCACCCAGGCTGGTGTGCAGTGGTACAATATTGGCTCACTGCAATCTCCACCTCCTGGGTTATGCAATTCTAATGTATCAGCCTCCCTTGTAGCTGGAATTATAGGCAGGCAGCATCATGCCCACCATTTTGTAATTTCTGTGAGATGAAGTTTTGCCATGTTGGCTAGGCTGGTCTTGAACTCCTGACCTCAAATGATCTGCCCACCTTGGCTTCCCAAAGTGCTGGGATTACAGGCATGAGCCACTGCGCCCAGCCATGTGATCATGAATTTGAAATGAGACAGGTATTTCAAAAGTTTTCAATTAGTTCAAATGGTTCTGAGTTTTTCTACAGTCTTATTCCACTGAATGAGAGAGTAGGTGGGGAATGGGATTTTACCAGGATCCTGGTTTAAATAAGCAAGTGAGGCAAAGTGAGAGAGGGTCTCTCCAAGACAGATTCCAGCAATGGCCTGACCAGGGTGAGGCCAAGAGCACTGTTGTCAGTACTATACCCTAGGAAAAAAAACACATTTGGAACCCTGAACCCTTAAATCCTACCAGAAGACCAACAGAGCTTCTCAGAGATATACAGACAAGACATTATAGGCAAGGGCATTCTTTATTACTGTTTGGCTGAACCTCACTGGGTATAAACATTTATATATATGTGGGGAGTAGTCTACATTGATACCTAATGAGAAGTACAGCAACAAAAACTCTGCAAATACTTGCAATTGACACATGATTCTAGATCAAGTAGACAGATGATTTGGAAGGCTATCAAATTATCAGATGATATTATAATCAATGGAGGCCTCTTAGCACCCGCTTTACCCAAGTATAATCCTAAGTAATTATAAAATAACGTTAACTACATGACAATATTATGTTTGATAGAAAAGTTCACAAAGAGAGATGTTTTCAAATATACAGTATCAAGAAATATTATTTTCCAACAAAGACAGTCCTGGATATCAAGCATCAGCTCATTTATTATAAAGAAAGAAACTTTTGCCATAGTTGAATAGTTGTCAATGAGATCGTTCTAAAACATCCTATCTGGGAGTCTTATCCTCTGAAAAGTTAGAGAAAAGTTCTGTGCCAATGTAGAATGAAGACGAGGAAATCTGCAATTAGAGGTTTTCATTTTGACCATTATTTTTATCTTGCATTTTCAGATTATTTTTATCTTAAAACCATCAACCAAATTCATAAAATCAGCAGAACCAAATTCAGTCTTAATCATCTTGTCATCAGAGATAATACCTAAACCTGTTCGGAAAAAAAAAAAGATGGAAGTTATGGAAAGAAAAGCAATTGGTTTTAACAGCTTGCAATAAAAAAAAAGGCAGTAACACAACATGCTGCAATGATATTTAAACTACTGCTTGGAGGATTTTAAAGAGCTGATGTCTGCTTGATTTTAATCTGTTGTAGAAACATCACAACCAACAGCTAGACAAAAAGCTAAGAAGAATCACAAAAGAATCCCAGGCATGAAGCTCATCAGGCTTACCTGATGCACCTATTGGGGAGGTAGCTGGGGTCATGTTGTGGACATTGAGACCAAGACTCTGAGAGGGTCCTGGGGCTGATGCCGCTATGGGAGGTCCCGGGGGGTTCTCCCTCTGGGGAGAAGTGAGTGGGGTGGTCGGCTGAGAGGTCTGTCCACCAGCAAGTCGTGCAAGGCGCCTCCGTCGAATCTACAACATAAGGGGAAAAGGGCATTCCATAAATAAACAGCAGAAACACAGTTCTGCCAGAGAATCACATTATCCATAAGCATTCCAGAGCTTAACAACTAAATATGTCTTGAGCAAAAGTACTCTTCAGAGAGAATAACTCGCTCTATCAGTATTCTTACAAGCTCTACCACCTCAGTTTTTAACAACTATATTTTGGCCAGGTACAGTGGTGCCTGCCTATAGTCTCAGCTACTTTGGAGGCTGAGGTGGGGGGATTGCTTGAGCCTAAGGAGTTCAAGATCAGCCTGAGCAAAGCAGTGAGACCCCACCTTTAATTCATACATGCATAAATACATACATATATACTGTATCTTTGTTGCTTTACCATCTGTTTATCATACCTCCTTGGCTGATATGGTGAATTTACAATAAACATACTATGCTTTTTTTTTAGAGAGAGAGAATCTGTCTCTATCACCCAAGCTGGAGTGCAGAATTTCAATCGTAGCTAACTGCAGTCTTGAACTCCTGGGCTCAAGTAATCCTCCCACCTCAGCCTCCCAAGTATCTAAGATTACAGGTGCGTGCCACCATGCACAGCTAATTAATTTTTTAACTTTTTGGCAGAGATGAGGTCTCACTATGTTGCCCAGGCTGGTTTCAATCTCCTGGCCCCAAGCAACCCTCTCACCTCAGCCTCCCGGAGTACTAGGATTATAAGCATGAAGCACCACAGCCAGCCTACGCTTGTAACACACTAAAGCTTGCTGTTATTTAAATAAAATGACCTAACTTGGTCATTTCAAATAGGTAAGATTTAAAAAGAAATAGCCAGTTGGCCAGGCATCATGGCTCATGCCTGTAATCCCAACACTCTGGGAGGCCAAGGTGGGTAGATCACAAGGTCAGGAGTTCAAGACCAGCTTGACCAACATGGTGAAACCTCGTCTCTACTAAAAATACAAAAATTAGCTGGGCGTGGTGGCACATGTCTGTAATCCCAGCTACTCAGGAGGCTGAGGCAGGAGAATCACTTGAACCTAGGAGGCAGAGGTTGCAGTGAGCCAAGATCACACCACTACACTCCAGTCTGGGCAACAGAACAAGACTCCATCTCAAAATAAATAAATAGCCAATTTAATTCACTAAAACAATGAGAAACAAAAGTTACACTAAGATACAAATTTAACCATCACTTGAAGGAGGAAGATAATCAGGTTTTTACTTGATTGCAATAAAAATATAATCTGCCAACAACAAAAAAATAAAAAATATATATAATCTGCCACTTCTTCCTTTTAACATACAATTAAAGAGCAACACCTTATTGAAAGAGAGAAATTAATCCATTCATTGAAAATACATTTGTTGAACTCCTACTATCAGCAGGGCCTCTGAAAAAGCTTTCTAGTAGATTTACCCATGTCCCCTTAGCAAAAGAAGCCAGATGTAAAAAAACATTGACTGTATGATTCCATTTCTATAAAGTTTGAAAACAAGAAAAACTATACCATTAGTTTGGATAATGGTTATCCTTGGTGGGAAGGGGGCAAAAAGCAGCTTGGGAGAGGCAGGAATGAGATTCTAGGGGTCTGGTAATGATGTTTTTTTCTTTTTTTTAATTTTAGGTAGATACTAGTGTCACAGGTAGGTCCACTTTATGAAAATTCACTGGGTTGTATACTTACAACTATAAGTAATCAGGTCACGGGTATTCATTTTATTCTTCTTCATGATTTATATGTTAAATATAGTCTTCTGTATAGAATGTAATTTTTTTTTTTGAGACCGAGTTTTGCTCTTGCCACCCAGGCTGGAGTTCAATGGCACCATCTCGGCTCACTGCAACCTCCCCCACCCAGGTTCACCTCCCGCCTCAGCCTCCCAAATACCTGGGACACCTAATTTTTATTTTTTTGTAGAGATGGTATCTCATCATGTTGCCCAGGCTGGTCTCAAATTCCTGAGCTCAAACAATCCTCCCACCTCGGCCCTTCTAAAGTGCTGGGATTACAAGTGTGAGCCGCCATGCTGGGCCAAGTTTCATTATCTTACAGACAGTGAAATTTAGGAGCTCATGGTTGATTTCTAATTCAAATTTAACCTTTATTACCAACTACTTTATTTATCTGGAGCCTATCTGGATAAGTCACTTAACATTCTGCGCTTCAGTTTCTGCACAGTGGACATCTGTACAATGAGCATGAAATCATCAGCTGAGCGTAGTCACTCTTGCCTGTAATCTCAGCACTCTGGAAATCCAAGGCGGATGAATCATTTGAGGTCAGGAGTTCGAGACCAGACTGGCCAAAAAGGCAAAACCCTATCTCGACTAAAAATACAAAAATTAGGCCGGGTACGATGGCTCATGCCTGTAATTCCAGCACTTTGAAAGGCCAAGGCAAGCGGATCACAAGGTCAGGAGTTCAAGACCAGACTGGCCAACACAGTAAAACCTCGTCTCTATTAAAAATACAAAAATTAGCTGGGTGTGGTGGTGGCACGTGCCTATAGTCCCAGCTACTCCGAAGGCTGAGGCAGGAGAATTGATTTAAACTGGGAGGCGGGGGTTGCAGTGAGCTAAGGTGGCACCATGGCACTCCAGCCTGGGCACAGGGTGAGACCCTATCTCAAAAAAAAAAAAAAAAAAAAAAAAAAAAAAATATATATATATATATATATATATACACACACACACACACAAAAAAAAAAATTAGCTAGGCATGGTGGAACACAACTGTAATCCCAGCTACTCAGGAGGCTGAGGCAGAAGCATCACTTGAACCCGGGAGGAGGAGGCTGCAGTGAGCTGATATCACACCACTGCACTCCAGCCTGGGCAATGGAGACTCCATCTCAAAAAATAAGAAGAAGCAGTATCTTCCTCATAGAGTAGTGAGAAAATCACCAGCCTGTCCCTTTCCCTACTTATTTTTAACTCCATGGCTCTCATCTGCCCTATGACATGTGGAATATATTTATTTGTGTACTGTTTAGTTACCGTTCCCCTACTTGAAGTTTCTTAAAGGCAAGGACTTCTGTTCCTCTTTCTCTGACGGATCACCAGTGCCTAGAACAGTGCCTGAGACATGGTAGGTGCTCTCTAAATATTTGTTGAATAAATAAAAAATACTAGAAAAATGTACTGAACATAAAACTGACTAATTTATTAGCCGACAACAATTATCATTATCATTGAAAGAGCATACCTATTATTCTTGGCAAAAACATGAAGTCACCTTAAACCTGAATGCCAAGTTCAGCCCAAGATGTTAAATTCAGATGTTCTATTCAGTGATATAAACAGAGAATAAATGTTCTGACTCACTGCAATACAGGGTTGAAGAAAGAAAGGATTCTAAGGTTTCCAAAAAGGTTGAAGAATCAAGACTTTGTGAAGCATATTGTAGACTGTTATGCAGGAAGAAAGAGTTAAGAGACAGAGGCAGGTCCATATACGATATAAGGGGTAGGAGAAGACTGGGGAAATACATCCTGCCTCATCTTAAATATCTGCTGGAAACATTAGGAAGAGCCATGCATGGGGCAGTGTTCTGGGCTGCCCACAGCAGAGCTCTCAGTAGAGGACAATGCCCTTTGGGGGTCTGACCGCCTTCTACACTGGTGGTAGCTTTGAACTGGTTTAGCAAACTGGGAATATCTGGATAGGGGACTCACAAGAGAATGGTTTTATGCAATCACAGGTATAAAGGCTTTAAATCCAGCCTGGGCAACAAGGCAAAACACCAACTCTACTAAAAATACAAAAACTGGGCCAGTTGCAGTGGCTCATGCTTGTAATCCCAGCACTTTGGAAGGCCGAGGTAGGCGACATCACTAGAGGACAGGAGTTCAAGACCAGCCTGGCCAGCATGCTGAAACCCCATCTCTACTAAAAATACAAAAATTAGTCAGGCATGGTGGTGGGCACCTGTAAACCCAGCTATTCGGGAGGCTGAGGCAGGAGAATCACTTGAAGCTGGGAGGTAGAGGCTGCAGTGAGTCAAGACTGTGTCACTACACTCCAGCCTGGGCAACAGAGCGAGACTCTGTCTTAAAAAACAAAACAAAACAAAACAAAAAAACTGAGTCAGGAAATCACCTGAGCCTGGGGAGGTGAAGGCTGCAGTGAGCCATGAACTCCAGCCTGTGAGACACAGTGAGACCTGGTCTCAAAAAAATAAAAAATAAAAGTGTATCTAATTAATTTGATTACTAAGAGATGCAACCTCACTTTTTATCACAAACAGAACATAAGGGATAGACACCAAAAATAGTCACAACACACCAAAATATGATTAAACATTTTTCTCTTTGTTTACTTTTTTAACATTAAGCCTGGAGGATTGGCATAATCTTCCTTAAGTTAAACAAAAGTCCTTTTTAAGAGAATTTTGTTTTCCCATATCTCACAGAGAAAAAAACAAAAGCATATAAAAAAAGACTTCTAATTCCTCAATTTATGTCTTAAACCACAACTCAAAGCCGCACATACTAATCATGAAATCTCATTCCTAGAGTTTTTCCTGTCTTGTCTGTTTCAGTTCTTATTTCACAAATGATGCTAAAATAGGGCTTTCTCCTAATTTGTTATATCATGAAGCAGCACTTCCTACCCTCACGTTCCTGATGAACTAAAAATAGATTCAAAACAGCGAAGGCCATTGTGATTTCAGGCAGAAGCTAAGACAGGATGAACCAAATTGTTCCTCTTGTTTTTTAGCAGTGTGTGGGGAAAAACACCCATAAAACATTGATATAAGGTTAATAAATAGTCATTCTACTCAAGTGACTTACTTTCCTACTTTAAAAAAAATTAAATTCCAATATAAAGAAAAATAATTGCAAATGCTTCCTCTTTGGGGTAGTCTCCTTATAAAGATAAAGATAACTCCTAGTAAAATAAATAAATAACTCCTAGTTTTATTATTGGTTTTCTTTTCTTTCTTCACAGCTGGCCACATTTAAAACTTACTAAATGCTATGACAATTTCACAATATGCCTAATCCAAGTCCAACGACGTTTCTCCAGAAAATGCATTTACATCCAAACATCACAGCTTTGTGATATAAAATTTGTCGGTTTCCTTTGAAAAAAAAAAAAAATGTCATGGAGAGATGCAGTGGCTCAAACCTGCAACCTCAGCACTCTGGGAGGCTGAGGCAGGGGATCACTTGAGCCCACAAGTTCAAAACCAGTCTGGGCAACATGGTAAGACCACCTCATCTCTACAAAAAATTTAAAAATTAGCTGGGTATGGTGGCACACACAACACGTAATGCCAGCTCTCAGGGAGGCTGAGGCAGGAGGTCAATACTGCCGTGAGCTATGCTTGTTCCATTGCACTCCAGCCTGGGTGTCAGAGTGAGACCCTACCTCTAAGTAGAAAGAAAAGGGAAAGAAGGAAGGAAGGGAGGGAGGGAGGGACAGACAATGATATACGTTATATTTCACTTTGATGTCTACTGCTTTTCAAATGAGATATATTTATGTTATGTGTATTTTACCACATTTTTTAAAAAACTGAATTGAAAAAGCCAGTTGTAAAGGGTACACATAGTGATTCCATTTATTTTTAAAAAGGATGTAGATTTACATTATAATGGACATTATCAGTGCAAATTATACATAAATGCAAATGGCAATGACATGATAAATTTCCATTTTCCTCATCTTTCTTCTTTCACATATTTTCTGATGAAAACAATAAAAAACATTATTATTTCCCTCTATGCCTACCATGGGAAAACATTCAGATGAAAGTGCAGCCTTGCTCCGTATCGTCTTTACTCCAAGACCCAGGGTGACAGAGCACCTTCTATTGGGAACACTAGCAATCGCCCGGGAAAAGGACAAGAGGAAGGGTAAATTCCACCCTGGCCCAGCAGTGGCACATTCAATTCTGTTCCGGTTTCACTGGCCAAAACAAGTCACAGGGCTGAAACTACCCCAGCAGGGTGGGAAAACAGATCCTTCCCCAGACAGGGGTAGTGAATATGTGGACAACAATACAGTGAGGTCTAGCAGTCCCCTCTTCCTTCAACACACAGCTGGGCACGGGTGTTCGCTTGCTGTGGAGTTGTGCCTTCCTCCTCCGCATGCTCCTCCCCTCCGCTTGCCCCGTAACTGCTCTATATCCTGCCCCGCACCTGGCTCTTTGCTCAAATGTTACCTTCTCAATGAAGCCTTCTCTTCCTTCCTCCTAGTTCCCATCTGCTTCAGTGGTTCTCCATACTTTCAAATAGTTCAGCCAAAACCAACAAGTATGTGTGTGTGTATACTTGTTGTGTACAAGTATACACACACACATTTATATACAGAAAAAGCAATTGTGGCAAAAAATAAACTGATGAATCTAGGTGAGTCATTCAAATTTTTGCAGATTTAAAATTTTTCAGGGCAGGGCGTGGTGGCTCACACCTTAATCCCAGCACTTTGGGAGGCCTAGGCAGATGGATCATGAGGTCAGGAGTTCAAGACCAGCCTGACCAACATGGTGAAACCCTGTTTCTACTGAGAATACAGAAATTAGCCGGGCGTGGTGGCACGAACCGGTAATCCCAGCTATTTGGGAGGCTGAGGCAGGAGAATAGCTTCAACCCTTTGAGGTTGCAGTGAGCCGAGATCGAGCCACTACACTACAGCCTGGGCAACAAAGCGAGACTCTGTCTCCAAAAAAAAAAAGCTAGGAATGGCAGCAATTGCCTGTAATCCCAGCTACTCAGGAGGCCAAGTCAGGAGAAATCGTTTGAACCCAGGGGGTGGAGTTGCAGTGAGCCAAAATCATGCCACTACACTCCAGCCTGGGCGATACAGCGAGTCTCTGTCTCAAAAAAAAAAAAAATCAGAATAGAAAGTTGAGGGAAAAGTTAGACCCACCAGCATGCCTTTTATTTTTTTCTCTAGCCATGTGCGGCTGCACACAGTAGGCACAGGGACGGCCTAGCCAGGGTTGCTGAGAGAGGAAAAGTAAGACACAAGGTGACAGAGAGTGGAATGGAAGGGTAACGATCATGATGCAGACACAGGAAGCTCTGGTAGCACCTGGATTCTTGATTCCCATCTTCCTGTGACCCAGTTATCTCTCTGTCCCTAGGTTTGGGAAGAAGACTCCTGTATCCTTAAAATAAATCCCATTTTTGGCTTAAGCTCAATAAGGTGTTATACTACTTACTGCATGTATACATAGAAATACTTCCATTCCCCAGAGACGCGACCAGCAGTTTGCTTGTGCATGGAGTATCACCTTATTTTTTTCCACTTCCTTAAATTAGGTTTTCGGGGTTCAAATTCATTTATGCTAACTGTATATTCATGTAATAACTGAATCATCCCAGAGAGCAATTTTGAAAATCTAGCAACATATAAATGCTATGTACTTATTATGTGACTTGAGTTTCTTTTTCAGGACAGGTAGGGATCAGGCAGATGAGGGACAAAGGAGTGCCAGCAGAGGTCGGGAGACTTTGTGAGCACACACACTGTTTAGGGAACACTGAGCAGTTGGTAAGAATGAGTGTGTGTGGACATGGTGAGACACAGGCAAGAAAGGCAAGCAGCAACAAGCTCGTGACGAGCTGTGAATACCATCCTAAGACTCTGAACTTGTTCAGGAAGGCAAGGAAGAGTTTGAAAGATTTAAGTAGGGGAATAACTGGGTAAGATGTACCTTTTTTCTTTTTCTTTTTTAATTGAGACAGAGTTTCGTTCTTGTTGCCCAGGCTGAAGTGAAATGGCACGGTCTCAGCTCACTGCAACCTCCACCTCCTGGTTCAAGGATTACAGGTGTGAGCCACCTCGTCCAGATGTACCTTTGAAAACAAATCACTCTAGCTGCTGTGTGGAGAATGAATGGAGGCAGGCCACAAGCAAGCCTGAGCAATGGAAATGGGAAAGGGACAGCTCCAGAAATACTTCATGTGTGTCCCCAACAGAACTTGGCTGTTATTTGGAAGTGAAAAGTGAGGAAGATAGAGAATCTAGATTTCAGGCCTGGATACCTAAATGAATGGTAAAATACCCTAAAACTGAGAATACAGAAGGAGATTTTTTTTTTTTTGAGACAGAGTCTTGCTCTGTCACCCAGGCTGGAGTGCACTGGCGTGACCTCAGCTCACCGCAAACTCTAGCTTCCAGGTTCAAGTGATTCTCCTGCCTCAGCCTCCTGAGTAGCTGGGACTGCATGTGGGTGCTACCATGCCCGGCTAATTTTTCATATTTTTAGTAGAGACGGGGTTTCACTGTGTTAGCCAGGATGATCTCGATCTCCTGACCTTGTGACCTTGTGGCATCCCAAAGTGCTAGGATTACAGGTGTGAGTCACCAAGCCCAGCCCAGAAGGAGATTTTAAGAAGATGGGTTATGACTAGATTACCAAGTATGAGGTACCTGGAAGAACTGCCAACCCAAAATGTCCTGTAGGCTGCCGACATCTGTTTTGTTTTTGTTTTTGCTTTTTTGAGGCAGAATTTTATTCTCTGTCACTCAGGCTGGAGTACAGAGGCGCAATCTCAGCTCACTGTAACCACTGCCTCCTGGGCTCAAGCAATTCTCCTGCCTCAGCCTCTTGAGTAGCTGGGACTATAGGCATGCACCACCACACCTGGCTAATTTTTGTATTTTTATTAGAGATGAGGTTTTGCCATATTGGCCAGGCCAGTCTTGAACTCCTGACCTCAGGTGATCCCCCTGCCTTGGCCTCCCAACATCTGTTTTATTCACCATCACTACTTTCTTGTTCGAGGAAAGACTTAAAGTGATTAACAAAAAGTACATTTAAAAGGCTGGGTGCAGTGGTTTACGCCTGTAATCCCAACACTTTGGGAGGCCAAAGGAGGTGGATTACCTGAGGTCAGGAGTTCGAGACCAGCCTGGCCAACACAGTGAAACCCTATCTATACAAAAATCAGCTGGGTATGGCAGCTCATGTCTATAATCCCAGCTACTTGGAAGGCTGAAGGTAGAGAATTGCTTGAACCCATGAGACGGTTTCAGTGAGCTGAGATCACACCATGGCACTCCAGCCTGGGTGACAGAGCAAGACTCCATCTCAAAAGAAACAAACAAAAAAACATACACATTAGAGGTCTTTTCAATTTAATTAAATTAACAAATTTATTCAAAGAGATAAGGAAATTAGGACAGAAGTAAAATGATGGTAGAAAGAAAAAAAAAGATAAAGCCAGGAGTGAGATCAGCACACATTACACACTTACAGCAACACCGTAAGTAACTGACAGCCCTCCTCAACATCAGCGGATGCTTAATGGCAAAACATGATTCAACCGAACAAGTTTTAGAGCAGCCTGAATGAAGACATCACGCATCAGCTCTGCTGGTGCGGCTTGATTTCAAGGTAGAGTTGAGAGTACCTAGGGCAGGGGTTCAAATCCTGGGACCCATGAAGTCCAGGAGGACCTTCAATTCTCTAAAGATTTTCAAGGATGGCCAGGTGCGGTGGCTCACGCCTGTAATCCCAGCATTTTGGGAGGCCAAGGCGGGTGGATCACAAGGTCAAGAGATTGAGACCATCCTGGTCAACATGGTGAAACCCCATCTCTACTAAAAAAAAAATACAAAAAATTAGCTGGGCACAGTGGCGCGTGCCTGTAATCCCAGCTACTCAGGAGGCTGAGGCAGGAGAATTGCCTGAACCCAGGAGGCGGAGGTTGCAGTGAGCCGAGATCCTGCCATTGCACTCCCGCCTGGGTAACAAGAGCGAAACTCCAACTCAAAAAAAGAAAAAAAAGATTTTCAAGGAGGTCTCTTACTCCAAAAAAATTTTAAAAGATGACTCTCCCAGGGAATGTCCTTCACTCAATCCTCCATAAAAATTTGCTCTCTGGCCAGGCATGGTGGCTCATGCCCCTAATCCCAGCACTTTGGGAGGTGGGCAGATCATCTGAGGTCAGGAGTTCCAGACCAGCCTGGGCAACATGGTGAAACCCCATCTCTAATAAAAAATGTAAAAGATTAGCTGGGCATAGTGGCGCACGCCTGTAATCCCAGCTACTCAGAAGGCTGAGGCAGGAGAATTGCTTAAACCCAGGAGGCGGAGGTTGCAGTGAGCTCAGCTGAGATGATGACACTTGCACTCCAGCCTGGACAACAGAGAAAGAACTCTATCTCAAAAAAAAACAAAAAAAACTTGTTTTGCACAATTACAGAAATGTGGTCAGTTGTCTGTTCCTCTCTTCTGATATTGCCATTTTATGCCTTATTATTAAAGGATGGATTTGAAAAAAAAAAAGGATGGATTTGAATACTATAAATTCTACAAGTAAATATGCCATAGGTTTATAGTATGCTTAATTTATGCATCTCATTGTCTTTTGAGGTAAAAATAAAAACAGAAGACAGAAGGTAGAAACAAACTCTTGTCCAGGAGCAGGTGCGGTGACTTACACCTGTAATCCCAGCATTTTGTGAAGCCAAGGTGGGAGGATCACTTGAGGCCAGGAGCTGGAGACGAGTCTGAGCAGCATAGTAAGATGCCATCTTTACAAAAATATTTTAAAAATTAGCCGCCATGGTGGCACGTGCCTGTCGTACTAGCTACTCAGGAAGCTGAGGCAGGAGATCACTTGAGCCTACTGAGCTACAACTGTGCCACCACGCTCTAGCCTGGGCAACAGAATGAGACCATCTCAAAAAAAAAAAAAAAAAAAATTGTCCAGAATCTCACTAGCTTACTAGGGATTCTAAAATACACCACAAAATGAACCTCTATCCCTCAGAAGTCAAGGTGCCTGAGGGATGGCTTATTTTCTGACGACCACATGTAGGAGTATTTCCACGGCCACTAAAAGCCCAGAAAGGTTTTCATTTTGCTTTGTTTTGTTTTGGTAAAGTCAAATGCCATACATAAACATTCAGGACTGATTCGAATCTTCTGAAGCCAGCTCCTCTGGGGAGGTCAGAGAGGAAATACAGTCATGGGCTGCATAACGACGTTTTAGTCAATGACAGACCACATACACCACAGTGGTCCGGTAAGATTCTAATACCATATTTTTACTGTGCCTTTTCTGTTCAGTACGGTCACATGCTGTACAGGTTTGTTGCCCAGGAGCAATAGCCAGGCTATACCATAAGTATCTTAGGAGTTCTACTATAGAGCCTCAGTGCGGAATAGGCTATGCCACCTACATTTGTGTAACTACACCCTATGGTGTTCACATAATGGTGCATTTCTGTCGTTAAGTGACTGTAGCTGCTTGATTTAAATCACCAAGCAAGTTACACTCATCTACCCCCAACCTTTTCCAACCCCCTCCACATACACACACAGGGACCTCACTATGGAATAGTACAGGACTGGCTCCCAGGAATACAAACAGCTTTCCTGCTTCTCCTCATTGGTTATGCCTTAGCATGGTTCCTCCATATCCCCTACTAAAGCAGGTCCTTAGTAAACAAGTAAACAAAGCACTAGCAAAGTCCCCAGAGTGGCCACCCCTCAGCTCTCTTGGGTAAGAGGAGCCTTCCCATGGCTTGAGCTGAAGACTTATGCCCCAGAAGTGCCATTCTGATTGTGAGAAAGGAGTGGAGACAAAAATGCCTAAACTAAAAACGGGGGCCTCCGGATCTCCTCAACTACTTCAGATGCCTACATCTATGGTCACTGTGACATGTGGAGGTGAGAGGCATAGAGGAATGGGATGGACCAGGAGGGTGTTCTTGGGATGGGATTGGGCTGCTGGCCTTCACACTTCGGCCTTGCCCTAAGCATCCATGGCTTTATGCATGGCCTCTTCATCTCCCAGGAAATGCATGAGCTCAATGGGCTTCAAGCTCCTGTTCAATTCACAGACAATGGGAATACCCAGAGTCGGCTCCATGATGCCCTATTCCAGGAGACCCTCCCAAGGCTCAACCATGCCAGGAAAGCTGCTGCCAGGCGCCTCAATCAAAACCTGTTTCCTCTCCTGGGAGTAGGGAATTATTTCTTCATTCCAAAAGGCCAGAGCTCCAACAACAGTGACCTTCAGACTCTTAGAGAAAAGCAGGTGCCCTACAGTGAAGTCTGCGCACCAGCAATCCTTGCTGCTGTTGCTGTACAAGAGATGTTGAGGCCGAGCGCAGTGGCTCACGCCTGTAATCCTAGCACTTTGGGAGGCCGAGGTGGGTGGATCACCTGAGGTCAGGAGTTCAAAACCAGCCTGGCCATCTTTAAAAATAAATAAATAAATAAGAGATGTTCAGCTCTATCAGAGGCATCCAGATCTTTATCTGGGCCTCATGGTTCTTGGCAACAGCTTCTGCTTTTTTGAGGCCAGTCAGACCCTCACAGTGCTACTCTATAAGGTGCACCTACTGGCAGCCACATCTGGTCAGTGACATCCAGTACCGTCCAGGGGGTCAGCACTGCTGTCTTCCGACCTGAGGTGACACAGATGTCAAACTCAAAGCAAGCATTTCTCAGTGCCTCCCAGAAGGCTCAGGTCAGTGTCACACCAGCTACTGAAGTGGTTCTCCAGGTGCCAGGTACCCTTGCAGTACCAATCAGCACCATCTGCAGTCAGCAGCTGAGGTGGGCTCAGGATGCAGCATTGACTGTGGTCACTGAGATTCCAGAGTCCCCACTGCCTGGCTCCCAGTGGACACCAGCTCTGCACCCCATAACCCCTATCCAGCTTCTAGTGCCCCTGGCCCACCACCCAGCAACCCGTGCACCACTGCCTGGCTCCTGTGCACTTTCTCCAGCACGAGTTTTAACACATAAAAACCTAACAGCTCAACAAGCCCAACTTCCCTATGTCCGCATTGACAAGTAAAGTACGAAGGCTTCCAAGCAATTGAGAAATGTTAT